GGGCGGCGATAGACCCCAGGGGCGGGCAGCCAAGGGGTTGCAGGGCGGTGGCCCAAGCCGGACAGACCCTTCCATTGAATGATCAAGGCCCCACACATCTTAGAACAGGAGTCTAGGAGATACACACACACACACACACACACACACACACACACAAAATACAAAGATTTGTACTTTTCAAATCTTGCTGGTACTGAAGGAGCCAGAAAGTTCCTTTGAGCGGTTGGTCATGCCGGGCCCATTCTCTTGCTTTATGGCCCTTAACGAGTGAGTGACTCCCCAGGGAAGAGAAGCGACCCTCACTGTGGGCCCCGCCTTTCGGCACCTGCACGTAGGAGAGAAGGATCCGGCAAAGGAACGGAGACCGAGCACGGGGCGTGTCAACAGGGCGCCGGGGAACGTAATCCCACGCCCCCCTCGCTAAACTCCCACCACAAAAGAAATTGCAATATCACACCCCACCCTGTGCCGGGTCCTGCTTCTGGAGGAAAGGGATGGTGTGGAGCCGGGGCCCGGACACCGCGGGGACACCGGGGAGCTTTACAAAAACGCAGATGCCCAGGGTCCCCTCGAAACTAGCCGAATCGGAATCTCTGGGGTGGGTCTAAGAAGCTCGCGGCTAGTACAGCCCTGAATCCGGATAGTGGTTTCGTTGAGGAACCCGAACGGACTCTTCTCTCACTCGTAGGGACGGAGAAGGAACATGGCTTTTAATGCGCTGGTGCTCGAGTGGGAGGATTTTTCTGTCAGTCTTGAGAAGCCATCTCCGCACGGTCCGGGCAGCCACTCCACCCAGAAGTCCGAGAGGCACGCCCGCCCACACGCGTGCACACACATGGGCAAACACGCACAGGCCCGCGGTGCCCAGGATCCCGCGCTCGGTGGGTTGCCAAGAAACCGGGTCCCTGGGCTGAGCACAATCCCCAAGGGCCGCCCGGTGCCCTCCGGGTACAGTCACGGGGGCTCGCGGCCAGCGGTCTGCTGGCTGAGCAGTTGTCGGCTGCTGGTCACAGGTGGCAGGCAGCTTCCCAGACGATCTGGAAGGCCATGGAGGCACAGGGGAGCTGGGCCAGGGTGTAGGCCAGGGAGCGGGTGGGTGCCCGAAGCTTGCCCAGATAGGCCACGGTGTGCACCACGCGGCCCAGGAAGAAGACGAGAAAGTGCATCCGGGCGATGAAGGGGTCAGGCCCCAGGAAGGAGTAAACGAGGCCCAGGAACAGGAAGGGGTAGATGGTCTCCATGTCATTCCGGTGGGCTCTGGGAAGGCAAGGGTGTGCGGTCAGCCGGGCGTCAGCAGGGAGAAGCTCGTGGAAGCCGGGGCCCTCTGCCCCGAAGGGCCCCACGCCCCTGGGGACCATCTCGGGGTGCCCGACTCGCGTCCGTTCGTGGCCGGGAGAAAGAGGTACCACGGAGGCAGAAGCGACAGCAACTCCAAGTCAGCTGCTGCCAGGACGTAAAACCCCACTTATGGGCCAGTGGCGGTGACAGGCAGCTAGCCGGGGCTTTCCTCCTGAGCCCTGGGGCTCCCCAGGACTTGGCCCCGGCCACGCTCCCCACCGTCTTCCCTCGTGTGGCCTTGGACGCCAGCCGGGAACAGTGGGACTCAGAGGGGGTTGACAGCCGGGGTGGAGCCTAGGTCTGACTCCCACCCGCGCCCTTTACCCCCCCCCCCCCCCCCCCCCCCCCCCCCCCCCCGGTAAAGCTCTTCATTTCGACTACGCTGTCCTGTGTCTTTGTGTTTGTTTGTTCAAAACGGTCAGGCACGTGAGCACGTGGGGGGGAGCGGGGGGAGTGGAAGGGCTGAGTATAGCCCTGGCGTAAATAGATGACCAAGAAAGAAAACCCACCCGCGTCTGCTAAGAGTTGGGTCACATTTTCCATGACTCCCGCTAATGGACAGCTTCCTTGGGGAGAGGTGAGGAGGTCAAGTCTCATAAATGAGAGACCGAACCCGTGCCTGAGGCCATAGACGGTATGTTGGAAGAATAAACAGGAACCTAGTACCGGGGCTGGGACCTCCCCCGAGGACAAGGCCGCATGTGTGAGGCAGGGGGGACTCGGGGCGGGAAGCGAGGTGCGCCTTCCAGCTGGGACGCGTTCCCCCAACGCTGTGCGCCCGCGGGCCGGGCCCGGCCCAGCAGCTCCCGTGCGACGGATGGACGGCCTGTAACACAACCCTCCTCTTCCCTCCCACTTGCAAGCAGAGCCTTAGGCAAGGGCCCGGTGTGTGGCCTGACCTAGGGAATGGGGCTGGGCAGGGCATGGGAGAGGCCCTAACTCGGCTGCCCCGTGCTGCAGGGGTCTCTGCCAAGTGACCGGCGCGGGTGGGTTCAGGGGAGGAGATGTTTGCACCGAAGCCTGAATGATCAGGGATCGTCAGCAGGTCACCACCGGTGCAGGGGGAGAACTTTCCAGGGAGCAGGAGGGGCAGGCGCAAAGGCCCTGGGGTGGGATTGAGCATAGGGTGTTCGAGGCACAGAAAAGTGACCCTGGAGCGTGTCTGGAGTGGGGTGGCATGAGAGGGAGCGAGGCAGGTTGAAAGCAGGAGGGGGGGGGCTCGTGAAGGGGGGCTTGGGGCCTGGAATTCAATCCGCGTGTGCAAGAGCCCCCGTTAACCCAGCGGGGCCTGGACCGTTCTTGGGTGAAACTCGGGACACAGCGGTTGGCGTCTCTGGCCCCATATCCCGAAGCCAACGTGAGCCTGCCTTCCCCTTTTCTCCCAAATCTCCACCGTGGGACCCAGCCTCGGGGAAAGCAGGTCTGCAGGAAGGCCCGGTCTCACCCAGTTGGGTGAGGCCCTGCCGCCTGCCTGTGCCTGAGAGCAAGTCGTAGGCCCTGGTCAGATCCTGGCCGTGGGAAAGAAGAAGAGGGAAAACTAGGCTGGGCCCGCCCCGCCCCCCGGCTCCCTGATCAAGCAAGTCCCTTACCTCACTTGTGAGGGGACAGCAAGGCTTCCTCCAGACCCCTCTACCCTATGGAAATGGGGCTGTGCCCCCCAACATCCCCCATTAGAGTGACACCCTTGGGAAACGTGCTTTATTCTTCTTATTCTTTAATGTTTATTTACTTATTTTAAGAGAGAGAGAGAGAGAGCAGGGGGAGGGGCAGAGAGAGAGAGGGAGCCACTGTCAGTGCAGAGCCCCACGTGGGGCTCAGTCCCATAGACAGTGAGATCATGACCTGAGCTGAGATCACGATGAACCGACTGAGCCACCCGGGCGCCCCTGGAAAGCTTACTTTACATGAAGTCAGTGATGGGGCGCCTGGATGGCTCAGTCAGTCACGTCCGACTTCGACTCAGGTCATGATCTCGCGGTTCGTGGGTTCGAGCCCCGCGTCGGGCTCTGTGCTGATGGCTCGGAGCCTGGAACCTGCTTCGGATTCTGTCTCTCCCTCCCTCTCTGCTCCTCACTCCACTCGTGCGCTCTCTCTCTCTCTCTCTCAAAAATAAATAAACATTAAATGAAGTCAGCGTGTCCCAGAAATCGGTCTGCCTCTCACAGCTGACCCACCTGGATGGGCCTTTCTGTCACACGCTCATCTGAAAGTTTCAGGAAAAGCACCCTAACTAGTATGGGAAACCCAT